ATAGGGGAAAATGGGGTTTGTGAGGGGGAAACGGGGTTTGTGAGGAGAAAGTGAGGTGTGAGAGGGGGTAAATGGGGTTTGTGAGGGGAAAATGGGGATCCTGAGGCGAAAATGGGGTCTGTGAGGAGGGTCCTGAGGGGAAAATGCGGATCCTGAGGGGATAATGGGGTTTGTGAGGGGAAAATGGGGTTTGTGAGGGGTGTCCTGATGGGAAAGTGGGGTCTGTGAGGGGAAAATAGGAATCCTGAGGGGGATCCTGAGGGGAAAATGGGGGTCCCCCAGGAGGGGGAGCGTGAGGGGGGGTCCTGAGGGTTTGGGGGAGACATGAGGGGAAAATGGGGGTCCCTGAGGGAGGCAATGGGAGGGGGAGTGTGAGGGGAAAATTGGGGTCCCTGAGGGGAAATTGGAGTCTTGAGCATTTCTGGGGGTCCCTGAGGAGCCGTTTCAGAGTTGGGGGGGTCCCAGCTTTGCTGCCCCCCCCCAGGACCCCCAGCCCCCCCGGCGAGGTGTCCCCAGAGCCCCCCCCGGCGCTGCCGTCGCTGTCCGAGTCACTGCTGGGCTCCGACGAGGGGGAGCAGGAGGACCCCCGGGATTACTGCAAAGGTGGGGACACCCCGCTCCTTTTGGGGGTGTTCGGGGGGGGGGTCCCCAAACCCCAGAGTGACAGTTGCGCCCCCCCGCGCCCCCTCCCCAGGGGGGTATTACCCGGTTCGGATCGGGGACCTTTTCCACGGGCGCTACCACGTGGTTCGCAAGCTGGGCTGGGGACATTTCTCCACCGTGTGGCTCTGCTGGGACCTCCGGTGAGTGCGGGCACACCCGGGGGGGCTCAGGGGGGGCTCCCCTGGAATTTTGGGGGGGGTTCTCTATTTTATTTTGGTCGCCCCGGGCAGGAGGAAACGTTTCGTGGCGCTGAAGGTGGTGAAAAGTGCCCCCCAATACACGGAGACGGCCCTGGACGAGATCAAACTGCTGAAATGTGTGAGTGCCCCCGGCCCCCCCAAACCGGGGACCCCCAAACCCACCGCCGTGACCCCCCCGTGCCCCCCCCAGGTGCGGGATTCAGACCCCAGCGACCCCAACCGTGAGAACATCGTGCAGCTCATCGACGACTTCAAGATTTCCGGGGTCAACGGTGTCCGTATCCTTCTGGGGGGGGCTTTGAGGGGGGTACCCCGAGTTTCCCACCCTGTGGGGGGGGTCCCAGGGGTCTGGGGGCTCCTTGACTGCCCCCCCCAGATGTTTGCATGGTGCTGGAGGTGCTGGGGCACCAGCTGCTGCGCTGGATCATCAAATCCAACTACCAGGGGCTGCCCCTGCCCTGCGTCAAGAGCATCGTCCGGCAGGTTGGGGGGCTGTG